GAAACATACAGGGAGATGAGCCTCACTGATAACAACAGACTATTATTTAGCTTTGGACTGATATTCTGTGTTATTTCTGGGATGTACAGTGTTGTCTTGGTGATAGAGGTGTTTCAGACTGGTGCCGGCTAAAGGACTTGGCTCACACTGACCTCTGGTGGATCACAGAGGAACTGCATCTAATGACAACAAGCTGCATTTAAAGGGGCACTTCACCTATTTTACACACGTTCAGTTACTAACACATAACCCAAGAGTCTTACTACCTGCAAAGTTACATTTGTCCAAGGGCCAGAATTTTTCCAAGCAGATACCGTGTAAAAAATAAACAAACAATAAATTAATTAAATTAGGTCTAATTAGTCTATAATTGTTCAATATTTTTTACTTTCTTCCAAAATTAATATAATTTTTATTAGCCTATATCAGTGTGAACAGACTCCTGAAAAGGATGCTAAATCCATAATGATAATTAGATACTTAATTAGAAAATGCTCTTAGACCTCCACTAGGAAGACAGCTCATTAGGAGTCGTGGTTAAAATCTTTCATTTCAGTTTGTGTGCACCATTAAAATGCTTTGATTGTAGTGTTGATTTGAAGTAGGAAATGTTCAGTTTTCATTAGCAGTAACTAAATACATACAATACATGTCACCTTTTGTGTTGGTGTTTCTCTAGAGTTTGAATTGAGCTGTTATGTCCTGGCTCTACAGTGTACAGAGTGCAGGGGCCTCTGATGCAGACTGTCAGGAGCAACAGCCAAGTGGAGCTCTGTTCAGTGTGTTTGTTAGTCCAGATCACTGCCTTCTCACTTCATAAATAAGGATTATAAAGCAATCTGTGCAGCTGCTGGGGCTACAGCAGCTCCACTGACCCAATCACCCTGATTAAACTGAAGACTGGTAATCACCAGAATGAGTCCATTAGTCTATATTTACGCTCTCTTTTGTCTTCTCCCTTCTCTCGTGCTCTCTGTCTTCCCCTGTTTTAAGGACTCTGTGCCATAATAAGACCTTCATTACTGGCTGTTTGATAAAGAAATCAAAGTAAGAGAACAGAAAGATGAGAGCTTTACTTAGTGCTCATTTCCCCCTTTAGTTTCATCTCTGGAATAAAAGCAGCGCTGCAAAGTCCCACTTAATGGATGTGATGGAAATTTCAGGGTCAGCAGCATCACTTTATATTCACACCAACATACTAGTGGATATCTGGGTGTATTAAGGGAGACTGGCCTCAGAAGTAATTACGTGATATTGGTTAGTGGTGATTAATATGAAAGCATATGGCACTGAAATAGTCAGACTCAGCAGATGTTTTGTGGGTTTTTGCTAAGATTCAAGAGGAAAAAGTGAAGCAGGAAAAAAGAGTGAGTTTTGAAAAATGAACCCCTACAATGTGTTCATGTGTGACATGAGATATAATTTCAATTCAATTTAATTTTATTTGTATAGCGCCAATTCATAACAGAAGTTATCTCAGGACACTTTTCAAATAGAGCAGGTCTAGACCGAACTCTTTATAACATTATTTACAGAGACCCAACAGTACCACCATGAGCAACCATTAGGCGACAAGGGCAAGGGAAAACTGCCTGTTAAAAGGCAGAAACCTAGGACAGATCCTAGGTGGGTGGTCGTCTGTCTCGACCAGTTGGGGTGAGAGAGAGAGAGAGAGAGAGAGAGAGAGACAGACAGACAGACAGACAGACAGACAGACAGACAGGTGCACAGCAACAACAGTATTGGCAATAGCAATCTAGCAGGACCATGGCAGGAGGCTCCACCAGGATCAATAAGAACCTGCGAGATGAGAAAGCACAAGAACTCCGGGGAAGAAGTGAAGTTAGTAACATGCATTAATGGAACATGAATGAGTGCAGAAAGGGAGAGGAAAGGAGGAGCTCAGTGCACCATGGGAAATCCCCAGATAGTCTAGGCCTATAGCAGCATAACTAAGGGATGGTTCAGGACTCACCTGATCCAGTCCTAACTATAAGCTTTATCAAAGAGGAATGTCTTAAGCCTACTCTTGAATGTGGTGAGGGTGTCTGCCTCCCGAACCACAACTGGAAGCTGGTTCCACAGGAGAGGAGCTTGGTAACTGAAGGCTCTGGCTCCTGTTCTACGTTTAGAGACTATAGGAACCACAAGTAGCCCAGCATTCAGAGAACGCAGTGTTCTAGAGGGGTAATAGGGTACTATGAGCTCTTTAAGATATGAAGGGGCCTGACCATGAAGAGCTTTGTAGGTGAGGAGGAGGATTTTAAATTCTATTCTAAATTTTACAGGGAGCCAATGCAGAGAAGCTAGTACAGGAGAGATGTGATCTCTTTTCCTAGTTCCTGTCAGTACTCGTGCTGCAGCGTTTTGAATTAATTGGAGCATTTTAATGGACTTATTGGGGCAACCTGATAATAAAGAGTTGCAGTAATCCAGCCTAGAAGTAACAAATGCATGGATTAGTTTTTCTGCATCTGTCTGTGACAGGATGCGTCAGAAAATTGCAGCTTATCCAGGATTTTATGTCCTTAAGACATGTTTGTAATTTAGATAATTGATTCATTTCATCGGGCTTGATCGATAGATATAACTGCGTATCATCTGCATAACAGTGAAAGTTAATGGAGTGATTCCTAATAATGTTGCCTAAAGGGAGCATATATAGAGTAAATAGTATTGGTCCAAGTACAGAACCTTGTGGAACTCCATGACTAACTGTAGTATTTATTGAAGATTCATCGTTAACATGTACAAACTGCGAACGATCTGATAAATATGACTTAAACCAGCTTATTGCGGTTCCTTTAATGCCAATTTGATGCTCAAGTCTCTGTAAAAGAATATCATGGTCAATGGTGTCAAATGCAGCACTAAGATCTAATAATACAAGTACAGAGAAGTTCATTGTCAGAAGCAATTAACTTATTAACTTTAACCAGAGCTGTCTCTATGCTATGATGAACTCTAAATCCTGACTGAAAATCCTCATATAAACTATTGTTATGTAGAAAGTCACACAACTCTTTGGCGGCTACTTTCTCCAGAATCTTAGAGAGGAAGGGGAGGTTAGAGATTGGTCTATAGTTGGCTAAAACCCCTGGGTCAAGAGTGGGCTTTTTAAGAAGGGGTTTAACTACAGCTACTTTAAAGGACTGTGGTACATATCCTGATAATAAAGAAAGATTAATCATATCCAGTAAAGAAGTGCCAATTAAGGGAACAACTTCTTTAAGCAGCCTAGTTGGGATCAGGTCTAATAGACTTCGATGAAGAAATGATTGAAGTAAATGATGAAGATTGATAGCAGAAAAACAGTCTAAATATATATCTAAGTTTACATTAGCAAAAGTCCCTGAACTTGGAGAGCCACTGATAACTGTTGATGGCAGTTGGTGATTAATTTTCTCTCTAATAGTAATAATTTTATTGTGGAAGAAGCTCATAAAGTCGTTGCTACTTAAGTTAATGGGGATATGTGGCTCAATAGAGCTGTGGCTCTCTGTCAGCCTGGCTACAGTTCTGAGGAACCTAGGGTAATGTACACAGAACTGCATGGGAGGTTCATAAATCAGGGGTAGGCAACCAGCGGCTCCGGAGCCACATTCAGCTCTTCAGCCCCTCTCCAGTGGCTCCCTGTGGCTTTGATCAAATATTATATGGACTTTTTTTTACATTTTCATTACTCATTGTTGTAGGGCTAAAATGACTCTTCCAATTTCTTGCAGACTGGTTGGTTTTTGATGTTTTTGCATTTTATGATAATCTTTCTAAAGCATGGGATAGGAGGAGAAAAGCAACATCTGACAGATAAATTTCTCCGACTGGATTGTAGACTACTGGTTTATGAACTGGATCGACTGTACAGTGGATAGCACTAACGTGGACTTTTTGTGGTGTTTGAATTCGTGTACTGTGTCCTGTGGGATGGGTGGCTGTGTTGGTATGTTTATGTATTTGTTGTATTTCTAGTGTGGGATGTCTTTTGGAAAGTCATTTGTATAAGATTTATATTTTGCTGTTGTTTATGTATTTTGTTGTTCGATGGCAGTGGGTTAACAGGCCAGAATGTATGTTTGTTTTGTTGTTACTTGTGTTTGAATAATCCCATGAGGGATGGGTCGTGAAAATAACATGACACGAAAATAAAATCTTCATTCATTCATTCATTCGGTTGCACAGGTGTATTAATGATAGCTGCATTCCACTTAATGGAGGTCCTGCCATTGTGCATGATGGTTCACTGTCACTACTGCTGGGACACTTAATGGAACTGAGTTAGTCCACCTGTATTTTTCCAGCTTTGGCAGGTCAAAATGTCCGCTGTGCAAGCAGTCCACAGTAAAAACAGTAGCCATTACCACACCAATTTAAAAAAATGTTTAAAATTCTATCAACTAAAATGTGCGTCATACGTTATGTACTACCCTGCCGTCTTCTCTGCTATATTTTGCCAATATGGCAAATATTTGGTTACTAGTCGAGTCTTCTAGCTGGACTAGCCATGGATTCCAAATCCAAAAAAGAAAAGGAGAATTTAACAGTGAGTGGACAGATTTCTTTGCTTTCACCACCAACGCTGCTGGCTTATGCTTAATCTGCAGCGAGTAATCAGCATTATAAGACTCAAATATGTATTTTTGCCCCCAGAAAAGTAGCTCTTGTGATAGTAAAGGCTGCTGGCCTCTGCTTTTCTGCACCCTGCAGGTTCACACTTGTTGGGTAATACAGTAAATTGTACTTTGGTTGAGCACACAGATTATGTTCCAACCAGACCACAATAATGAGGTAAAAAGTGTTACAAGGCTGCAGGTTCATGAAGATCCTAACGCCGTGTAGCCTTTTGAAAGGGGAAAAACCTGTTTGCAGAGGCAGGAGCAGAGATGAGAAATGAGTTTGTGATCCTTCCCCTGGTGGCCTCAGCAGAAATGTAGACAGAACAGAAACAGCTAAAAGAGGGAAAAGTGGAGAGGAAGAAGTGAGAGCAGAGAGACAGAACCGAACAGAGTGAGAGAAGTTTATTGACAGGTAAGATACAGATGAGAGTGGAGGCCTGAACCTAGTCCCAACACACACAAACACACACACAATTTAACTTGGGCTTGTTGGTAGAAAAGACACGTTTAATTTGGGCCAATCTGAAATCTTACCACAAAATAAAATTAACTCAAGTAGAAAATTTACAACAATCTCCTAAAAGAAAAACAGCAGTAAGTGAGAACCAGAGATGAGTGAAAAATAAAAACCCACTTTGGAGATAACCCCGGTTCAAACAGCGACCCAGTTTTCTGTGCATCTCTGCTTGACAAATAAGCTCACATTGTTAAGACAAACAGAGGACTGGGAGGACGGGGTTCACTTCTATTTAAAAATAATTAACAAAAATAATCTGTTTCTAAGGGTTTACAATACAAAACCAACAAACATTACCAGTAAAATAATCTGTTTAAAGACAGAAGAGATCAAATTAGACTAAAGGCACATGTACTTTGGTCCCAACAGGTCTCCCCCCAAAATCAGAGACCAAGACCAGAATCACATGTTGAAACCTTGTCTAAACAGACAGCATTTGCATGCATCCTGTGTATGTGTGTGTGCAACCACTCACAGCAAAGGTTTATGAAAGACTGGGATGGCATTTAAACAGGATCATCAAAGGTAGCTCTATCGATCCTTCCTAAGTCCCGATCCTTTTTGCTCTGTGCTCCAATAACAGGTGAGCAACCTCGGTCAGAACCTCTGTCAACTTTCTCCTTTCCTGTACTTAGATATGCTACGTGCTAGGCTAATATAAGTTGGAAAGACAACCAAATTTTGTAAATGGTTAAAAGATAAAAGCAACATAATTGATGTAAATTAGCTAGCTGGTTAGCTAGCATTTTGCTAACATTAGCTACGTAACTTCAGCTGTGACTACATATACATATATATATATATATATATATATACATATACATATACATATACATATCTATCTATGTTGTTTTTGTCTTTTAAGCATCTATAAAATTTGGTTGTCTTTTCAACACTGATTAGCCTAGCACATAGCATATCTAAGTACAGGAGAGGAGAAAGTTGACCAAGGTTGCTCACCTGTGTGAAAAGGGGCGGGACTTAGGAAGGGTCAACTCATTAAGGAAACTCCAACTTTGGATCCAAAGTATTACTTCATGTCAGCAACATGTTAATGTCAATACCTTCCTAGTTATTTTGTAAAGGAGACATCAGGGGTATTCAATTGTCCTCGGCAAATTACTGTTCCCATTTCCCAGGATTCCATTAAACATCTCCATGACGAACTTGATACTTTTGATCAAGTCATGTATGAATAAACAGATTTAAAGTGATTGTTCGGCTATGGGAACAACAGCAAGGAAGTACGCCAGTTAAGAAAAGCTGCCTCTCGATAGAAATAGCTTCTTAGAGGACTTCTGTGTACTTAAGTCCTCAAAATTTAGTTAATGTCTGGCATTTAAACTACATTTAAAGTGAATCTGTGTTAAAGCTACAAGCTGTTTAGTGTAGGTTGCTAAAATGCCTACAAAGTATCATTGGGTGCTGGTAATGTAAAACAGGTCATATTTACATTGCGGATGAGAGAACAGTGTGAATCACACTTAAACCACATCAACTCTTTTAAGCTTGTAGATTAGAACAAAATGTCCAAGATATCCGTATGTTTTGATTTTGAGAGCACCGAAGTGCACAATTGATGAGGATGAGATTTGGAGGAGCAGCACACTGAGAATGTGTGTGTCAGAAACTGAACAGTTCAAAAGACATCCTGATTTGATGGCAGCTGTTGACTGCCTACCACGAAAGGAAAGAGGAGTCACATGACTACAATCGCGACACAATGTATGTATATAAAAATAACAGATCATTAATTAATGGAACGTAAACCTCCACAGAAAAAGCAAGGAAAGGAGACACTGACAGGTGATCACTGGGCAGAGCAACAAAAAAACAAAACAAAAAAACAAAAAAACCCAGCTATCTGCACTTAGCAATGATATAGATGATACAGAGTCAATTAAGAACTAAAACTGCTCTATAGAGTGACAGCAGGCTGAAAAGCACTGTTTACTGAACCTCTATGATTGAAGGATTCAACCAGCATCACTGACGGTTGTGATCAGAAGTGTTCTATTGCACTAATAACCACACCCTACTGTGATGTCAAGGTGTACTGACTCACCCTAGAGTACACTTTTACATTACTGCAGCAAGGTCAGAAGGTAAACCACTGGTGGTAAAACCCAGAAAAGTGCCTTTGGGCCAGGACTGAAGCACGTACTGCTTCTACTAGTTGACAAAATGTCCTTTGTGGAATTTTGATTCTCTCAGTATTTTAACTGAAAACTATTTCAAATGGTTTAGTTTGAATTTGAAGTTTTGAACGTTTCAGAGATAAATATTGTACTGCTTAATCAAAGGTTTGGGGGTGGCGCAGAAGAGGTTAACAGAAAATGTAGAAAAGGAGACAAATAGTAGTGACTTCCTCGCTCGTCATAGATCTTAAGTTTTAGGAGTTGGGTGTGAGGGTTAGATGGTAGACTTTGAAAAGGAAACTTTCAGATGGTGATTTCCTCCCATGTCGTAGTTGTGAAGGTCCATCAGAGCCTGAATCGCTTCCTCGACTGACGACATCTGGATTAAAGACATCTTACGGTCCCTGATGAGGAAAGAGCAGAGACAAACAGTCGTTATGGAAAGTAACCAGAAATGTTCATGTTTCTTCTCTGCCTGCATGGCACTGTTCACTTCCTGGGTGGTCAGCACAGAGCATAACAAGCCAATAATCTTTCATGTACAAACTACACTAGATATATTTATATAAAAAAGATTTATGTTGAAGTGTTTGTAGACATTTGTAGTGTTCATCGAAGTGCTTCTTACTGGAAGAACTTGAAGGCCTTGACGGTTCCTCCGCTGTTAGAGAACAGAAGACGCAGATCATCCTCTCCAACTCCATCCCTAGACATGCAAAGACAAATTATTAATGTCTTAAAGAAAAGCAGCATGACGCCAAAGCAATTCCGACACTGATTAAAAAACAAACAGAAAAAAGAGAGTAATTTGACTCATAAGTGTAGTGGTTGTACTACCGGATATTGGAGAGGTGAAGTGTTGCAGATGGAGGAAAGATGTTCTGGAAGTTTTTGGATCCTGGCTTCTTAAAGCGATGGAGTGGGGAGCCAGAAAAGTCTGTCCAACAAACACAAATATTGACATAATGACAATAACTTTAGGTGCAAATTCACTGTATAGTGTTGGACACACTTTGATGTGTGAAGATACTGACAAGCTAACCTCTTACCTTTCGTTAGTAGTTGGTCATCCAATCCTTCTCTGGGCAAAGCCACTGTCTGATGTTTAGACAGCGTTACTCTCATCACTTTACCAAACACCTTCTGACCGTTCAAGTGGCTCATAGCTACAGGTGATGAAAAACACAAAGTATAGGCAGGTGTAAAGTCGAAAAAGCCTGACAGCATTTCCACATCCTTCCAATCACATCAATCATATCATATCTGTGGTTCCAAATGTATGAGGAAGTGACCGATCAACAAGTAAAGCTTAACATTAAGATCTTAACCTGACTCTACAGACAAACATAAAAAATGTGAAACACAGCCAAAACACAGTAAGACAACCCAATACATTTAAAATGTATTTAATTTGTTTGTCTATTTAATAATTATGTACAATGTCTGCAATTCAGAATAAAACAAACGGTGTATGATAAAGGCAAAAAAAGCTGCAACATTAAGAATAAAATTCCTGCCCAACATGCTGACTTGTGTATTTTGGCCTTAAAAAGGAAACAAAACGGTGTGTTTCTTCGCTTAAAATCTGCTCTGACTGACTGGCCTGGTGGAGACATTGTTGAGATATGCTGAAATTTGATCTGGACTCGTGATTTATTTTGAAAATTTTAACTTTTAGTATCATCAGTAATTTTTTGTTTTTTTATATATCCATATGAATCAAAAACTCACCCAGCTGAGCCTGGTTGCCATCAGACAACTGTATCAGAGCGCTGTCCTTTTTGTTGTAGAGGATCTTCACCCTCTGGACATCACCATAGACTCCTGAAGGTAGGGAAGAGAGCGAGAGGCAGACCGAGAGAGGGAAAGAGAGAGAGAGAGAGAGAGAGAGAGAGAGAGAGAAAGAACGAGAGAGAGAGAGAGAGAGAGAGAGCAGGGTGGAGTAGGAGATGAGGAGGACAGAACAGACAGAGCAGGAGAGATGGAGCCGACGAAGATAAAAGAAGGAGAGGTGTGAAGGATGGAAGGAATAAAGTTAGTGCTAGAAAGACACATGAAAAGAAAAGATGGAATCTTCCCATTTGACTTCCACTAGAAACTCAATCAAATGATTCTGTATAGCCGAGAGCTTTTATGTTACGACTGTCAACCAGAGAGAAAACACACCTCAGCTGAGCTTTACCATTGACATACACCTCAAACTGTTTGGAGTGTTCTTTGCATGATTCAGAAATCCAGCTTGAAAATTGGTGATTAAAAAAGTAAAACAATATATGAACATTCAAGGAAAAAGACACCATTTCCAAAACCTTTTCAAAGGCATGCACTAATCTAAGACAGAAATGTACAGTAAATGCAGATCATTTTAGACTTTTTTAAAGCTGTGGATATCCAGGAGGAGCTAAAACTGGTTCAATATGTGTCAGGACAAAAATGTAAATATTGCTGGGCTGGTTGACAGTCTATTGTGACCCTTATGATATGCTTAGTTAAGGTGATTGAGTAGCAGGTAATTCCAACTGCAAAGTTGTAGAGTAAAATGAAAAGGTGAACTATGACTGCACTTGATTCATACAAAATCTAGAGAAAAAGGCAAAAAGACAGGAAGAGATGCAGAGGTTTTAAGAGCTAGAATGAGTCTTAGTGAGTACACTGGACTGTCATGATCAGTGTGGTGAGAACATAAACACTACAATGATCCATGTGTCCCTGACAGACTGGAGGCTCCAGTGTTCTACTGACTGACAAACTCTTGACATTTGAGTGAATTAGTCCAAAACCTGGACCAGACAGTCCACTCAGAGTAAAGTAGTATCTTTGTCTGTCCTTTTGTCAAGTTTCTTACAGAAGTAACATGCAAAACCTGCGAGAAAGAATGTTTTCTATGTTGCTCTCTGCTACTACAAAATGAGAAATGAAAGAGGTCTGTTAGTGTCGGAACTTAGCTAATCGGTTATTTTGCCAGTACTGGATCCATAAGGGTTTATTCGAAATTCAAACATTTGCTCGAATGTGGTTCATTTTGACCTGTTTCAAATTCAGCATGTACAGTCTGTGAGCACAACACACTGTTTGAAGTAGTTTACCTTGTGATCCAGCAGAAGGCGCTCCACTATCAGCTTGACCTTTGTCATGCCCTATTGATCTGTCAGTAAACTAAGCTAGTAAATGTTGTGTTGTTTACTAAGAAAATGGAGGACACTAGTCTGTGTCAAATCTGTGGACTCACTAAACGTTACCTTGCCACCCAAGTGAGGCAACGGAGGCACCACAGACAACCTCTACTGACTGCTACTATTCGGTACACTTGGGTTCAGCAGGCCGCTTGCCAGAAGCTTGTACAACTGATAAGAGAGCAAGATTTATATGTAAGGATATGCAGATATGTGGATATGTGACCCATTGCTGTTGTAAAAGGGTATGTCTTATCTTATAGTAATCTTTACATTGTTTTCCTGAGTGGTGTCATACATTTTATACATTTGTATGTGGCTAAAGGTGTTCTTGAATTCATTCCAACGAACTGCATGTCATTTGAAATAGGTTCAAACGTGATTTTTGCAGCAGTTTGGATCCTCGTCATTTTTGCTGTACTATCAGCACACTAATAATGTCGCTGTGCCAATTAGTATCTGTTGTTTACTCAAAATCAAGGAAATAAGGATACGGGTAGATTCACATTTTCTTTTCAAGTCTGTATTAAAATAATATTCAGGTACACATATGAACAATATTTAACAGGTTTTGCTTGCTGTAATCATTGCTCCGGTTCATGCCAACCATTTAAAGATCCCTGTCCAATCCACTTCCAGTGAATATGATGCAGGACAAAATCCAGTCCTCCTTGTGTGCAAAATATATTTACAATATCTTTACATACATCAGTCTGAGTTAGTCTAATTAAGTGTGTATCAAGTGTCTTCCATAATAACGCTATTTTTTTCCCGACAAAATTCTCTTCTTGTGTTCCCCTCGTATTTTCCTGGACAGTGTTTCCCTGTTGAGGGATAGTAACAACAGCAAGGGATTTTGTACTAAAAAGACTAGACTTTTTATTTTGTATTTATTTATATTTACATGTCTTTTAATCTTAATCTTTTATCTCGTTCACCTTCCTTATCTATCATCATCAACATTTTCCCTTCCATTTTTTTATCTTCTTTTGTTTGGCCTTTCTTTCTCTGTTTGTTACATTATCTTCTGTGTATACTGATTTCACTTGTCGGTCAAAAGCACTTTGTAACACATGGATGATTTTGGTGTCTTTGTTCTCATCACTTAAGAGATACGCTGACCAAACAGACAATCTCTCAGACTCACTATTCTTCCAATGTAGAGACAGAAGAAGATTTTATCTCTGTAGTGTGCAATATGATTGAGGGAGGCTTGGAGATACAGAAAGACACAGAGGAATAGCGTGTCCACGACATCACTGAAGAAAGTGAACAAAATTGGATTAACAGAGAGAGATATACAGATAGAATAGTAGAGGTTGAACATACCGAAGAGGGTAAAGAGACTTTGAGGCGTGACCATCTTTAGAGAGAGAGACCGCAGAGCAGAGGACAGGAAGAGGAGGAGCAGAGGAGGAGGAAGAGGAGAGACGAAGGTAGAGATCAGACCGCCCAGCGTTGGACGAGGGGGGAAGTGGTGGTTTCCATGATGATGCGGGGTGGAGCAAAGATGGAAGGCATGGGGGAGTTTGGGGGAGGGTGGTCAAAACGGCAAACCCAAAGTCGGGTTAGACCGGATTAAGAAAAGTAAGGAGAGGAAAAGGAGGTGAACATTTTTTGGGGTAAACGTACGTGAGAGGGGGGAGGGTTTTAAGAGGAGTGTAAAACATTAAAGGATGTATGGCCAAATGGAGAGAAAATAAATGAAGGGAGGAGCAGAGGAGGGAAGAAAGGAGGCAGGGAAGGGAGAAAGGAGGAGAGGAGGACAAAAACCAAAGCAGAGGTCAGTAAACAGAGCATCAGTGGAACATCAACGGAGTCTGAATGATTGCTGGTTTGATTCCAAACACACACATACCCACAATTCTTCCAGTTCTGTTAACACACACACACACACATTCCCTGCTGGATGGATTTATCAGTGAGGAAAAGAAAGGATGGGAAGGAGGTAGAAAGTAATAACTTTAAGGATGGAAAAAGCATGAAATAAATAAGTGGATGAAAGAGTGAGTGTCATGAGATATCAAACCAAAAGAGGGCAGTACCATGAAGCAAGTGGCCAACCAGATCAAATATAAGTGGAGGTAACAGGCGGCAAAACTGACTGACAGTAAATAAATGTATATTAACCATGCTCCTTTAATTGTGATACTTTAAAGCAAAGATATTTTCATTGTTTCAAGATAGAAAAATTATTAGTTTTGTGAATTATATTTAATCATAATTATTATCATAAAACCACTCTGATACCACATCTGATTTACAGCAGCATGACATTACGTAACCTCTCGTTAGTTGAGCAGGTAGGTGGAGGAGAAACAATGTCAATGTGTTTGGAGATATTTTACACAACTTTTACAAAATTAGCAACATTTAAAAGGACCAGTGTTTAGGATTTAGTGGCATCTAGTGGTGAAGTTGCAGATTGCAACTAACTTTACACCGCTGGCAGCTGTAGAAACATGGCGGAAATGGTCGGAACAAAGTGGCATCGGTGCATCCCTAGTTTATTTGATTCAGCAGGATGTCCAACATCCCACATGAGACCTGTGATAAATCATCTGCAATAAAGCAATCACCTTTGAATAAGATGATCAGCATACTGCGTTAGTATGCGACATGTCAACTTAAATACTGCCATCAAAATTATAAACATCTGGACTTCCAAGATTCTTCACCTATATTCTTAGTGATTCACCACCTGTGTAAAACAAGGGTGTTCACTTCCACTCAAAAACTACAAATAACTACATAAAAATGGCCAATGTTTTCTCTGATGGTCTTGTTTTCTTTTATGTAGGTCATATAGAGCCATTAGTATTAAACTGAGACTGTTTCATACAAATTAAAAACTCCTTACAGTACATTTAGACCAACCAAAGAATTTTCTTGTGTCCAGTTCAGTTGCAGCTATGCTAGAAATAAAGGACATGATATCACATAATTCATCCTCACTGGCAAATGTTTTACCAGAATTGAAATATTCTGCGTGGGTCTTACACTTAAATAACTACTTAAGCAAACTGGAATTGAACAGTAATACATGTTAGACTCTGTTTGGGGTTTATATTGCTATGCCACCAGGAAACCGGGTACATGTACTGCATGAAAATGATTGAAACCTGTTGATAAAGTTGAGAAAGGATGAACAAGTGACTAAAAAACGACCCCCTGGATTCAAACACTCACAACATGAAGAATGGCCACACCACACTCAACCTCTACCTAGCCACTGGATTGTACTGGGCAGACGTGTGTGCAGGAGCTGCTGCTCTCAAGCTCACCAGAGAGAAACAGCCAGGATACAGCTGTTGAACCAAGACTTTACCAGAAGGGGGCACAAGTGTGAAAACCACCACTCCACTATGGAGTAACAAAGACAGACAGAGAGAGGTAGACTGATAGATAGATAGATAGATAGATAGAATGAACACACGCAAACAGATATTGCAGGTGTAGAGCTACAGATGAAAGAGTAGGTGCACATTTACAATCAGAGAATACACTGAAACTTGACAGAAGAAACAGAAATGTAAGATAAAGTATAGAAGTATGTAGGTGTTCAGTATAGACCATGAGGCTTCAAAAACATAACTGAACCTTTAAGATCTGACAGAGTTGTAAAAAGTAGTTGAGAATATTTTAAGACATTAAGTTTTGGACCTGTGAAAGTTCATGTAGAAGAAAAATCAATCTGGAGGATCTACACACACGCGCGCACACACACACACACAGACAGACAGACAGACAGACAGACAGACAGACAGACAGACAGACAGACAGACAGACAGACAGACAGACAGACACACACACACACACACACACACATCAGAGCAAAGGGTAATTCACAAGGTTTGATTTCTCAGTAAGTAAACAATGTCAAAATCAGAGAGCTGCTCCAAGTTAAGCCTCAATCATTAACAGTGATAGTAGTCTTCTGAATCTGTTCTTTAAGGCAAGATGAATTGACCATAAAGTAATTGCTAGTGCTTGTCATGTTCCAATAGGATGTATGTACACACTCTAGAGAAGTGAGTGACATGCAGCAAAATGTTTATCCTGTGTGAATTTTCTAGAACATAAATGAAGATTTCTTTGCCAAAAAAAGGTTTAACTGAGTTTTCAGTGTACAGTAAAGAGACACTATTTTTTAACATACTTTAAGGCTGTTAAAAGTTTAGACACTTAACAGTTTAAGACAATGTATCATACTTTGACACTTTACGACCCAGTCTCCCTGTGAATCTACTGTAATTGTACAACACGGATTACATCTAGGTGGAAGATGATCACAAATCATGCTATAAAGAGGGCAACTCACACATACAACCACATGCTCACACAGGAATTCACACTGCTATCAACTCAAAATCATTCAGCAGTGTCTGTTCAACAGCTTAAATGAGTGTAAAAGTAGAGATTGGAAACACTCATTCACAGTTATGCTTATGGTTAGTGTACCTCTTCATTTAGGTTGGACGCCAACAGGACCCCTGACACTCCGGACCCAGACAGAGCAACCCGACCAGCAGCAGCTGCCGCCGCCGCTGCAGCACTTAGTGGACTAATGGCTCCTGTTAGGAAAACACAAGACAATAACCAGGTCACAATCACACACGCAAAAAAAAAAAAACAGCAGAAAAGCAGATTAAAACTATAACACTACAAAGACAAACTCAACTTCAACAACAGAAACATATTACATGGGCTTCTGTCAAGACTAATACTTCCTCTTTAATAGATTTAATAGATTGATACAATAGAGAATGGCAATACATGCTACTCTGTTAAACAATTACCCCAGAGTGCTACAGCTAACAAAGATAGTGATGTGCTTAATGCCATGGTAGTATGCTGAATGTCATTTAAGCTTGGTTAACCTTTAAGCTAATGAGCTAGCAAGCTTTTCATCATTATTTTTCAATAAAACCTAAGCAACATCATCTTGATCAAAACATACAATAGTATATTTACAGGTATGTTGAAAAAGTTGCATTTGCTAGAATTGCCCGCAGATATAAATGGTCAACAAAGTTATGTACACTAATGTAGAGGCCATTATTTAGACCTGAGTAGTTTAAGCTTTGAGATTAAACAATTCATACCGATCTACTCCAACTATGTACTAACTGTAATTGAGAATTATGCACTCTCCCACTTAAATGTAATTAAAACCTAAATGATCATGTATAACTATAATAACTTAAACATACGGAAAACCAGAACCCTATGATTATCTATTTTACATCACTATGCAGAGAAAATGTGATTTGTTTTGTAGGCTTAGCTTCTTAATTATAATGAAATGAATAATACATTCAAAACGCAAATTAGTATTGCATTCTTCCCATTAAATAGTTAAACACAGAGATATACTGTAAGTCTGACCAGAAAACAGGCCCAAAGGGTTAGTTATATCATATCACAGTTAGTGTGATATGAGGGGAGTGGCCAAACTCTCATCAAGCCATGCACAGACAATTCAACCAACAATGCAATCAATATTATTTCAACTACAAATCTCATTTCATTCCTGCCATTCATGGACAAATCACATACATACACACACACACACACACACACACACACACACACACACACACACACACACACACACACACACACACTATTAGTTTATATTTATTACAGAGGAACAGTACCAAGAAACATTTTTAAGACTGAAATTCTGGTACAAAAGGCTATACTAAACTATATTCAAAACATTTAAGGCCTGGAATTCAGAAAAAAATGACTAATAACTGTAATTATGTGCATGACCTGTTACTGCATCACACAACAACAATGACACAGTCATTTTATAATTGTGACTATCCTATGGCCGGTATTTATTTAATCTATTAACTGAGTTGATTGTTGAACTAACCACTGAGGCTACTGAGAAAAAAACAATTTTCCAGATCTGGCACATTCAGAAATTCATAGCAGGACATGATAAGAGACAGGACATCAGTATGACATAAAACAGCAGAGACAGAGTGATGGAAAAACAGAATTAAGAATTAAAAAAAAAACATAGGTACCTCCACCCTGTGAGAGGGAGAGAGAAGATGAGTAACCTCCTCCACTAGAGTAGGAAGCTAGCGCTCCAGATGGGGTACCTACAAAAGTGAGTAAATATTGTCAATTAGTCAAATATTTATCTAAAACTACACATATATGAAGTTGGTTTTATAGCCTGCACAGATTATGCACAGATTATGCAATAATATTAAGTTAAACCAAACTAATGTGTCAACAATACAAACATAATGGCCGCGTTTCCATCCATGACACTCCACGATCCATAACCGGATTTCCGGGAAAATCCAACAAAAATGCAAATGGTTTCCATCCACCACTGTTATGCAATTGTTAGGAGTTGGTTCAAGAGATAAGGAGTGGTTGGCACCTTTGTTTGTTTCATGTGTTAATGTAAGGAAGATGACATCAGATCTTTGTGAAGTGATCATGGATGGATTATAGAGCCATGGGAGTGATGAGGAGACTATCAGAGAGGAAACAGCTGATCAGTTATGTGACTTAAATTTCCGCTAAGTAAAACTTATTGGGAAAGTCTTTCCATCTCCAATTAAGCACATTAATTCCTTTTCGAAAAAGGCAAAAACCACCTGAAGTGAGTGTGAATGCGATACATCAAAATGTTCATGAAAATAGGTTGATGGAAACACAGCTAATCTGTGCATGACTTCTAATACATTGTTCTGTTATCACTGAAACAACAGCTCATATTGATTTGTCTGATGTATGTATCCTTTTATCCCAATAAAGAATAAATTTCCTGCCATGTCCAACCCAGTGTCACATTATATAAAATTCAGTGTAGATGCTGGTAGAAGCTGAAAATACTGTCTGTATTTATCTCTTTTGTTGATAATTACAGTAATGTAGAGATTGATTGTGATTAAAGATTTGATTGTATGCTTAGTTTTACCTTAGCTAATACTTTGCCCTAATACCAGAGCTAGTATAAGCATTCAAAAATAAAGCTTATGGTTTATTAAATATTCATTAAACTGACAACACTGAAAGCTTTTGATTATCTTGAACCATTATCGCAGCCAAACTAATGAACACCAGCAGCCTCACCACATCAAAACACATCAACCTCAGCTGATGCACATCAAAGCAAAGAAGAAACTAATTCCTCAGGGAGGTGCAGGATCTTAAAAAAGATCATGTACAGTAACTGTTACTCCTACACTGAACAAGTGCAATTTCTTTGTGCATAAATGAGGAGTAAATATAAAACACATTATACATTAGATCAACATCACATCAAGATTCTGGAAGTTCTGGTTTTGTCTATGTGTTGCTGCTGCAGTACAATGTCACCTGAGATTGAACAGAAACATAAATAATACTGCTGCTGCATGAACATGGCACAAATTGCATGCCATAATAAGGATGGACCTACATTATAGAAATTATCCTGATTAGTGTGCTTTACCAATATAACAGATCCACAATCACAGCCAGATGATAACAACCAGCCTCTACAACCAGCTAACTACCCTGTTCTAATTGGTGTTATTACATAACAAGCATTATGTGCCTTATTGTAGGTAAGAAATTCATTGAGGTGCACACTAATAACCCAGTGCTTACTTCCTGCTTATTGGCCAAGTGGAGAGAGAATAAGCTCCAGTAAAGAGGATAGACTGGAGCTGCAAATCTCTCTAACCCAACCTAAACTGACATTTGTTTTGGTCATAAAACAATAATCAGGTGCCCATATGAAAACAGAAACAGGTTTGGCTTGCAGTCATTATTCCTCCTGTTCATACTGGCTCTGGAGAGATCCTTTCCCAAAGACATTTCAGTGTAGTTGACGGGGAAAAATCCAGTCTGAGTTAGACAGATCAAACTGTTATCTTCCAAAATTAAACTAAACTAACTAAAAAGTCTTTTTAGTATGAAATGTTGGTGTTACTATCCCTCCACTGCAAATCAACAAGGTAACTTTTGAAATGCAAGGAAGGAATTTCATCCCAAACGACTAACTTTGGAAGATATACATTTGAGTAGTCTAACTAAACAGTGGAATATATTTTTGCACAGAATAAGGACTGTGCTTTTTGTCCCCCATCACTTATACTGTAAGAGTATTAGGAGGTCATCTCTTAAAAGGCTAGTGTGAACAATGGTTACAGAAAGTCAAAACTGTTTCAATGCAGTGTAAATATGGGCACATGAACATTCTCTTAATAGACTTGGAATATTGAACCTATCTTTTAAGCTTAAATGCCCTGAATCTGCTAAATGATATCAAATGGCACAGGACTTATTTATTCTGAAACAACTTTGTAATACTGTATAGTTAGAGAAAATATCATTATAGAATATGTAAATTGTATTGATATACCATCCAGTATGACCACAGTCTATTGATGCAGCATACAGTAATCCATACACCTTATAAACATGTATTTTCACTTTTATATTGTTAAATAAACCACAGTGACAAAATGCTCTCACACAGTTTTAGATGGCTACCATGTGCATTACACTGAAAACCTGCAGCCTCCGGTTGGTCTGATGGCCAGGAGTCCTTCTCAGTCTAAGCTTATGTTTTTGCTGATGCTTCACCTGAGACAGACACAGCACTTGAGACAACAGCAGTGGACAATAAGGGAGAGAAGGAAGGGATGGCAGTCCCTTCTCCATGAGCCCTTCATTACTGAGTGCCACTCTGCATGAAGTCTCAATAACAACAGTGGAGGACACTCTGTGGTAAGGGGGAAGTCATTTATAAGCAGGTAAATTTAGGACTGACACACACTACTAACCCGCTCACCATGGATACTGATGGATGCTTTACTCCCTCAGCTGTTTATTGTTTTGTGCTGTTCTGGTGCTGTCCCCAAAAAGTATATAATTCAAGTCATCAGTAGAAAAGAGACATCAACTTGCATGTTGTCCATTGAATCACTGCACTTTTATTTATTTCTTTCTTTTATTGCCTTTATATGATAGAGGCAGCTGAAGATAGACAGGAAAGGGGGGCAGAGAGAGGGGATGACACGCAGCAAAGGGCCGCAGGTCGGATTCGTACCCTGGGCCGCTGCAGCAAGGACTCAGCCTCAGTACATGGGTCGCCAGCTCTACCCACTGAGCTATCCAGGCGCCCAGGACGCATACTTTTATAGTGACATGAAACAAACGTAGGCTGATATAAGAGCTGAATGTGGGACTGTTGCTCTGCAGAATTGCTGAAAGGACACTAACCTGGCAGGGGGAGTGAATAATATATTTCTCATATTTATTGATAAGGTGTATAGAAGAGAAAACCTCAGTAATAATGTTGAAATTGAATCTACAGATAAGAAAAAGCATGAACCAATAAACCACAAGCACATGACAAATTTGTCGCAGACAGTAAACCCACAGTGCAGAACTAGCTAGTAGCATCTGGTAATCTGGTCAGAACCTTAGATTATAATTCCCAATATTCACTGCTCAAAACCCATCTATTTTGAACAATATTGTAGATTCTGATTTGTCATATGTGATTCGGTAAGCCTCTAGGCTGTTTGGCTCTGCCTGCACATCTTTTGTGAATGCATGAATAATTCCTTTTGTTTTGCCCATTAAAAATGTTCTATCTGACTTTTGATTTTTGATCTACTATTTTATCTTTTGCAAACAAACAATGAAGTATTGGATATTTACACAGGAAGAAACCATTGATTATAAGGAAAGACAGCTCACATTGTTACTGTTTCTTTCTGGCATGATCAGTTTGTCTTGCATTTAGAGTTTCAAAGTGTGATCTGGTGACAGACTGATCACAATCTAAAATGTTTTAGAGAAAATCAATACAATATTTTTTTATGTTATTACATATTTATTTTTAATTAATATGTTGAACCTTCCACACAAACAATGGAGTGGAAAAGGTGGCAATGTACAGTATTGGTCAGAATGAAGCTGAGCCATAGAGGTGTGTCTTTGGATTTGAACGTAATGCCTCGGGTCAGCCCATGATTGAGCAGCACCACTAGCAAAACAATAACCTAGAGTAGAGGGGGGTCTGTGCATCAATAGGGCCACAGTTTTGACACCTAAAATATTGTGGATATCCAGACGGAGATATGAATGGATGAGGTGCAGATGGATGCAGACAGAGGTGTATTTACCCAATAAAGAATGATCCTTGCTGGCCGACTCTCCATCTCCAGTAGGAAGGTCTGGTCTGGTGTAATCTCGACTCTTATCGTTGTTGTATTTGACGTTGAGGTTAACCAGTTTACTGAAGTCTATCCGCAGAGTACAGCATGAATTATAGATGTTCTGTCCATCCAAAGACTGGAGTAGAAGTAGTGAAAGAGGGAAAAAGAATGATTGTTATAACAGTGTTCTACATAGCGCTTCTTTTAGAATAGCTGGACTGATAATGGATTTTTTTAGGCTAATGCTGACATTTAAAAGGTCCAGTGTGTAACATTTAGGAGAATCTATTGTCCGAAATGGCATATAATATTAATATTCATAACTACCTGAATATAGGAATTCTTGTGTTTTCGTTAACTTAGAACTAACCATTTTTATCTACAGAAGCCGCCAGGTCACACGCCTTCCATCGAGTTCGGCATGTTTCTACAGAAGCCCATAACGGACAAACCAAAGACTGGCTGTTCGTGCACTTCACGAGTTTCCCAGCAACCGTATTTCCTCCAACAAACTCCACAGCCCATTATTATTACCAGGACGTCAAATACAGATGTCAGCGGTGTTCAGTTAGTTGCAGTTTGAAACTTCACTGCTCGATAGTACTTAATCCTACACACTGGTCCTTTAAAATTATTATTATTCAGTGTTTCCTCTAGGATTCTTTTAGCAGTGGGGCAGGCCTGTCCTTATTTTGGCGATAACGATAATCAGTCGATATCCTTTAAAATGTGATTGGAATTGTCTGAGTTAGGGCCTGTGTCCACCAAACGCGTTTTTAGCACTGAGAGCGCTCAAAAACTCATTTTCCGAGCGCCCTGTGGTGTTAAAAGTTGAACAGATTTCAACTTGAAGCGCTCTGAGCGCTGCACTAAAAACGTCTTTTCAAAACTAAACCATTTCCATGCCAGAGAGATAGACCCACGTCTCGGCACTAAATCATCTGAAGTACCGGTAGCTTCAGGGACTGGAGGTGCTTGCATTTTCTCTCTACCATCACAACGCGCTGCTAAACTGTTGCAAGGAGGATGCTAGCGAGAGGTCATGTGATCACGTCATGTGATCATGTAGGCCCACTAGTCATGTGACTGAATCCTGCCATGCTGTAGAGAGCGTTGCTGCACCGTGTATTAAGTGGATGTGAGGAGTTTCCATGTGCGTTTCAATATTTTTGGCGAAGTAATTTAAATACTCGATAATGGATGAGAGATTGAACCCAAAATGTAAATGATTTTCTTATTAATTAAGATCATTTTTAGCTTTAACTTTTCATATAAAAAAGGTAATATTTTGGGCTGTGTCAAACATCTTTTAACAAGAAAAAGTACAGTAAAGGCTATGGTTACAATACAATGCTCAACACAATACAGTTCTGTAATATTGGAGACATCCCTCAGTCTGAGCCAATGGCACACTGTCAAAGCCTCGTGGAAGCTGTAATTGTTGAATGCTGACAATGTCCACCTATTGTCACAATTTTTGTGTGTGTGTGTGATCCTACCAGTTTAGCTTGCTGTGCATTGACGGGGTCGCTGAACTGCAGAAGAGCCTGAAACTGGTTGTTCTTGGTGAAGGTTATAATCTTCATTACGGTCCCGAACTTACTGAAGATCTGGAGGAATCACAGAATTCATTCATTTTAAACACACGCATACTAAATTTTCTTCGCAATTTGCACTTTTGAAAGGGTGGCGAGGATCGATGTAATGCTGATTTATTATCTCTTTTCTTCTCCAGAGAGACTCCTTTTTGCTTTACAGACACTGTTTTTATACAAAAAAGGTTGAAACATCTGTAAATATGTGACCATGTGTTCAGGATTTACCTGTTGGAGAACATCCAGGGTCACAGGATAAAACATGTTGTCAATGATAATTCGCAGGACAGGGCTGGGGGGTGGAGCTAGGTCCAAAACTCCAGGGTCAGAGGACGGTGAGCTTCCATCCTGAACTGCTGACACTGCCTGCAACACTGCCTGGGCCCTCTGGGTGGAAAGAAAAAAGGATGCATACGTCACGGGAGAAAGGTTTGGTTGAAGGATAGTGTTTGGTGTATAAATATATGTATGCATATACCTGGTTCAGAGCTGAGTCTGTTTTCAGTTCCTTATGGTTGGAGTACTGGATGAAGACAGGAGTGTTTCTGACCTAAATAAGATGAATATAACACAAAATTCAGTTAGTAGCCCTTACAACAACAACAGAGAAATTATTAATAATATGTAACGTGAATGGACACTGATGTATTTCAGACCTGTGGTGTGACAGCTGTGTAGTAGTTCACCATAGTAATGGCTGCTTCCTCTGTACCCAACTCTAGAAACGCCTGAAAGCACACAGTAATATAGAGCGTCAGCAGAATAACATTACTGTCCAGGACAATGTGTCACTGTCCCTTTTCAGACTAAATGCCATCCCAAAGTATTTGCTGATAGTATAGAGTTTGGTTTATTTTACCTGATTTTTCCCCTTCAGCATCAGTATATTGGTGACCTTCCCAAAGGGCAGCCCCAGAGCAATGACTTCAGTCTCTGACACTTCATTGGGAAGTTTCCTGATGTGGAGAACTCTGGAGGGAGGGGATTCATCCAGACGCTGTTTCTTACTGTCACTGCCGTTCGCTGAACATGGACAAACACACACACACACACACACACACACACACACACACACACACACACAGACACAGACAAATACCAATAAATAAATTATCCTGGGACACAACAACTATAGATTTCAAACAGAACAAGTCAGATAGAGCACAAAAAGGTGGTGACTAAGCTCCATTAAGCTGCTTCCGTTACAGGGTCACACTGTCATGACTTATTGGGACATCTGAATAGAACAGAGTCATCATTAATGTTATTAGTAACACCTATGCCTTTCTTACTCTGACCAGTCAAAATAAATGCTGTGAAGAAGACCTTTGGTGGACTTTATATGTTATTGGGTTGACAAAAAAAATAGCCTGAAACTATTTTAATACTCAATTACTCTCTGACAACCTCTGTCATTTCCGGACCCACAAAGATGTAGGTACCACGATTCCCAGTGCACTAAAAACAACACGGATTCCAGCTTTAAATGATGGTGGATTGCGTTAGTTGATCCAGTCCTAGTTAAGACTGAACGTACCAGTCATAGAGTTGGGGCTGCTACCGTACATGTTGAGCTCATCTGAGCCTCTCTGAAAACACAAGAGAAAATAAATTAAATTTAAAAATATTAATATTCACAAGCACACTGACGTAATACTACCAAACATTAAATGTTAAACATTATACTGTATAATGTCTGCCTTAATGAACAGCAACTGTTATCTTAATGAAATGACACCCTCTGTCATTTAATAAAATCATACAAAGTTTAACACAAATCTATATAACTAACACAAATAAGGCATTAAACCTATTCACCCATCCTATCCTAACATCCAGTCCATTTTCAATTTCACAATATCACAGACATAGTAAATGCAAGTGTGTTTAGGTAAAAATAGTGAAAAAGTAAGATTGCTTGCCTTCACACCAACTGCAACATCACTGCCAATGGAGAGAATGCAGGGAGATGGGAAAAAAAAAGATTAAATATTATTTAAAATTCCTTAAGGATATTCAAGAGAGACTGGTGCTGTTGAGAGTTTAATCTAAATGGAAATGCTGTGGTATATTACTTCAACTGTGCAACAGTTTAACAACTCAGTGAAATTGTGAAGAAAAATCATACAAAAAAGATGTTAAAGTGTTAAAATGTTTTACGTTCCTGGTTGGAACCAGCTATACCAAAAAAATGCAAACAAATTAAAGGTAGGCTACATGAAGTCAATCAACATTACATTAAGAATCAATAAACTAATTTGAAAAAATGTATAGGATTTGGAATAAGACAAACAAACCTATAATACTGTAGAATAATTAGACTATAATAATCAGTCAATGGGTCCTTTTGGACTTTTATAAGATTTAATCCAATAGGACAACCTGATGGGATTTTTGTAGCAGTAGTCATATAATCCTATAGGACTTTAACCTATAGGATAAGGTTTCATAGGTTATAGGTTTCATATTTCAGCAATTCTTAGTCCAAATTACTTCAACACACTGATATTGGGTGATACTGCTTTAAACATACAAAAATCTAAAGAGAACTGAATACAGCACAATTTACTTAAAATGTTTCCACACAAACGTAAGAATTACACTGTTCAATTACTATTCAAATTTTCTGACGAATACATCTTTTGCCATTTTTCATTTTATATATTTTTTATTGTGTATTTTTTTCTTCCCTTATTTATAAAGAATAAGGTACAGTGACAGGCTTGCTCTGTACAAACCAAAACTGTATTATTTCCGTTCATACCTCCTACTGCTTAATTACACTTAATCAACACAATAACATAAAATAGATACAATACAAAAAAATAAATAAACTTAATGTACTGAACGGGGGGCTGGATTAAATCATATTCAGACAAGTACACAGTTTTCTGGCAGGGGAAGAAGAAGGGAGAAGTAAAGAAGTCACATACATACATACATACAAACAAGTATTCGTATTGCATAGGTGACAGCTCTACATCAAATTAAAATCTAGTTCATATGAATTAATTTGAAGGGATCCCTTTAATTTACAGCTTTAAAATTAATTTCTTCACATTTGGGAGGAAATTTAAATTGTTGTTCGTATAGCCAATATTTTAGTAATTGCATAGTTTCTGAGATTAAGATGTCCTACTTGTTAAACCAGGGAATATAGTAAACCAGAGAATATAGTATTTATTAAATATTACCAAATATTATGATATAGTTATTTAGGTACTGGTGTGTTATCTAGAATAAATAAGTGCTATCTGAATTTTTTTTGTCACTTTCATGGATATATTAATTGTTAATCTCCTTCAATTTAAGTATATTAGCATTTTAATCCAACTAATGCACAATTGACCATATTTGTTTTTTCACCCAGTCTTCCATTAATAAAGATTTTATTTTAGTTAATATGACTGTTATTCCATAGTGAGGGCAAGTCATTAATCATTTTCCAGTGTGACAGCGCTAGTTGGTGAAGAGTTTAAAAGGCAGATATTTTCAAAGTCACATTTTAATAAAAGACTCAATGCCTCCCAAAGCTTTCGCTGTACAAATGTTAGCGTTACAGTGACCTGCTCGCTAACTGTTGTGTACAATAAGCCGGCAGAGGTCGCGTGTAGCATACACGAGCTTCAAACAAAGGAGCCTTAGAAATGACAGGTGCGCGTGCCATGTCGGCTATGCCACGGTTCATTAATAACACAGAGCTAACAGCTTGTTACACTAATAATAACCGACAGTAACTGGCTCATCTACCAGACATTCACAAACAGTCACACATTTCTCTCTTCCCGGCAGCTTAATTAATCTAATGCTAACATTCATTTTACGCACGAGAGAAGATGGTAAGTTATATGCTGAATTATAACCTACTGCAACTACAACATTACAAAATAAATGAATTAAATATGCTCTTGAATCATAAATGTACGTTTCCCTACAAGCAAGACAACATTAAACCATCACATTCGGGACTTCGGGTGTTGTTAGCTAACGTAGATAACGTCATGTTGTTCGCGTTATACAGTATGAAGGTTCGCGGCAGAGCTAACAGTTAGCATATGTGTCCAATGAGCACGGCTCGTTCTGTCTATGTCACATGCACAGCTGTGGAAAGTGCACCCTGAACCATAAACTGTGTTAAACTCATTTACCCGTCCATTGCAGCTCTTTGTCCTCTTCTGTCTGTTAATATTTCAGCACACAGCGATGCCTTGACAGTGTGAGCAAAATGGGCGTTCTTCTTCTTCTTGTCTTTTAATGTTAATTAGCAACCAGCAAGAACCTCAGGTGTGTCACCGCCACCTACTGTCTAGGAGGGTATCTCTTTTCTTCTTCTCTGATTCTATCTGCAAACCAACGTGTAAAGGCGCCTTACCCCCCCCCAGTGACTGACTTATTTATTATCAAATAAAACACTGCAATGTCTGCTATTTGGTAAATTGAAAATGAAATTGAATTTGCATCTTCATATTTTTTTTTTACATTTTTACTGCGATAGAAGGAGTCTATTCTTTAAGGATTTCAATGTGGAAATGATACTTTTTTGGCAGATTTTTTATTTGATCAGACACACATTATTCTATGTTGGTGTTTTGAAGCGTGAAATATAAAAGTCAACTTCACCAAAACCTTCTCCCAACCAGACACTATTCATTTCTTTACAAACGTATTTCTTACTTTGTAACATTCGCTTGAAGCTATTTCCATCAGTACAGTTGCAGTTTAGAAACATCTATCAATAATAGTCATATACACATATCATGTGTGAAAATATATAAAAACATAATTGTTCCATCCGTCTTAAACAGATTTTTGGTATCTGATCTCTAGAATCTGATTAGACATCATCAGAGGATTAATGAAGAGTGAAAGAAGAGAGAGTATATTTTGTGCTAATTTGTGCATTTTTACATTGGGGCGTTGTCAATTTCTAATTAAAGGACCAGTGTGTAGGATTAAGAGGCATCTGGTGACCTGTGGTGACTGTAGATAAAAATGTCTCATTCTAAAGTAAAAAAAAAAACAATTCCTTAATTCAGGTGATTATACACTAAAGAAAACCTACCTCTGAATATTATATTCCATTTCTGCCAATAGAAATGTTACACACTGGACCTTTGAGGAAAGGGTCTGAATACTTCTTCCACCATTGTCTGTAATTGTGCTCGTCCTTCAGAGCAGTCAGTTCAATACTGAATTGCAAAGTCTAGTTTCATTCCAGTTTAATCCAAGATGTCTGACATATGTGACAGGACAAACAGTGTTAGCATGTGCTCCAGTGTACAGACGATTTGCTGCATCAGATAACCTTTATTAAAATTATAGACCATATCAAAGATGCATTTCATTTTGCATTATTACACTTGACATACAGTAAATGCACAGTTAATTTGAAATTGTCTATCATCACATTAAACATAAAGTGTTTGCAGAAGGATAACAACAAAACCTAATCCACAATTGCTAACGTAATTTGAGCCTGAATTACAGTTAAATTACTGACACATTTATTTCGCTACGATTATTGTGAACCTTGACCTTAAAAAGGTCTCTCCAGTGACATTATTAGTGTTAGTATTTATTCAAATCAAGACTACATTTTCCATAAAACAGATAAACACGTTCATGATGTCTTTTTTTTTTACCTTTTTGAACTCTTTACATCATCCACATGACTGGATAATAGTAGTTTTACAAATGTCTCAAACATCACGTGGCAGATTAATTAAAACTGAACTTTATAATATCTGATCTCCATTATTAAATAGGTACTTTTTGGGTTGTCTTTCCCTTTAGCAGACAGGACTGATGGGCACACCTCTCTTGGGTTCATAGGATGTTGTCCTGGTAACCATCTTGATGCAGTCTATGATTGGACAGACGCTGAGGCACAGGGTGCAGCCGGTACAGCTGTCATTCACGATGGGAAAGTGGGTCTCTGGGTCAAACTCTATAGCCTGGAAAGACAGTAGGAGAGACACGTTACAGGCGTGAGGCAGATAAGACTTAAGCATTCCAAAAGATTCTGAAACTTTTTATATTTATTTGTATGTATTAATATTTTTTTTATTGCCAATGTGTGAACAGTGTGTCTCTGTTTCGGGATGCGAGTCAGATTTTCTGCGAAAACCCAAATGATGGAACGATTTACATGCTCTCGAGTGCCTTCTCTCTCCGCTTCACCACGGTGTCAACAGCGGGAAACAATAGTTAACATTCAACACACGAGTCCCACACAAAATCCAAAATCAAAGCTAACATTACTGCAAAGTTAAATAATAATAAATTATTATTGGTAATAATAAATCACGTAGTGAAATACTTTTAGCTACTTTGCGTACTGTTTGCGGGTTACTTTATCAACCGGCGCCGGTTAACATTATAACTGTAGCTAAGCTAAGCTGGGGTCGGTCGGCTGGCTGTGTCTTGGCTGGGCAGTGTGGGTCTGGTGTTGGTTGCTTTGTTGTGTCGGTGATTTGTAAACGGCAAGCTAGTTAGTAGCATGGACTCAATGTTCCAAGTAAAATATAGGAACACTGCAGAACCTTATTCTAAATATGATTGTTATTTATTTTCCAGCGTTGTGAATGTCTCAGAGTGCGAGTAATAGGACACTGCACTCCGCTTACGGCCACTGGTGTCATTATTAACAACAGTTTTCCGAAAGTTAGAACCTTTACAAACAGAGGAAGAGATTGCCAAAGGAAAGAGACAACAATCTTTATGTAACAGACAGACAGACATACCTGGTATCCAGAGTCATTGCAGGTCATGTAACATTTACCACAGTTGATACACATCTCTTCATCTATCAGAGCCTGGACCTGAGAATACAAGGGAGGGTCATGATTATGACCAGTTTATAGTCTTTTTATTTTAAAGTGATTATCTGTGGATAAACATCAGTTTTATTACTCTTCATCTCTACCCAACATACAGTAACACCCAACAGTGTTTTTACTTCTTCTGTTCTTTTCTTGGTGCTACAGCAGCTGCCAGTTTATGAAAAATCCCTGTCACATTCCTGGAATATTTTTATAGGGACTGGTTGCTTATATGTGGAGGTCAGCTGTTACTGTACTAGTTTACATTGTGACCTTGTATGAGACAAAAGTCAGTCTCTGGTAGAGGCGCTCTTTACTCTGCTGATTCAAGATCAGAACCTCAAACGCTGTTTATCTGATGATCAGCAGGTTATGTCGAGAAGTCAAGAATGTCACAAAGAATCATAAAAAACAACTTCCCACATGGTCTTTAGGCTTCTGTTCATTTAAGAGTCTAACAATCTAATCTAATCAAATGTTTCCTGTATAAATCTTAGAATATAAAATGGCTACAGTGGTTGAGAAAACAATGGGTACCTGCTCCATGTTGTTAAGTTCCTGGTATGCTCCAATGTAGCGCAGCGCTCTGGCTATCACATCCTACAAACACACACACATACATACACAGTATGCACACATTTCCTCGGTTAAAAAATTGTTATCTTATTCTTATGTCTTATATCTTTTTTCACAGAACTGAAGTATAATACAGGAACAGTGAGTATGAGTGTGTGTGTGTGTGTGTGTGTGTGTGTGTGTGTGTGTGTGTGTGTGTGTGTGTGTGTGTGTGTGTGTGTGTGTGTGTGTGCGTGTGTGTGCGTGTGCGTGTACCTTGACAGCCGGAACGGGCTTTTTGGGCATGCTGACCCTTTTGGCGGGCTGGTTTATGTTGGTTTCCACCACTTCAGTCTCACCAGTTTCTCTGAGCTTTTTCTTGTACTCTGCGATGGCTTCTGTCTTCTGCTGGAGGTATGGGCCAAAGCTGGGGAGGCTCTACACACACACACACACACACACACACACACACACACACACACACACACACACACACGTTAGTTAACCTTTTCTACCAAACTAAATGGTTGCGCTGGTGTTTTCAGTAATAATAACACAATCAGACATAGCACGATGGCAGTAGAAATTCTATGAAGATGTTCAGGATAAACAAGTAGATATGAATGAATACTCTGACTATGAGACAGACAAGGTCTTCAGGTCTTCAGCCTCAGACAGTGGTGCAGTCTCAGTACCTCTCCTCCAATTCCAGCATTCAGACGCAGTCCCAAAGGGAACAAAGCTCATGCCATGTCAGAAGAACATGCTACCGTTTTGGCCTCAATAGAGCATTTATTCTGATGAAGGCCATGAGAAGAGGAGCAAAGCTTTTGGAAAAAAACTCATAAGTGATCCCACAAAGCCTGTCTCTTTTAAAGACCAAACAGCCAGTCCACTTTTCAATTTTTTCAATTCAATTTTATTTGTATAGCGCCAATTCATAACAGAAGTTATCTCAGGACACTTTTCAAATAGAGCAGGTGTAGACCGAACTCCTTATAACATTATTTACAGAGACCCAACAATACCGCCATGAGCAAGCACTTGGTGACAAGGGCAAGGAAAAACTGCCTGTTAAAAGGCAGAAAGCTAGGACAGATCCTTCGGCTTGGAGTTACTTCTCCTAAATAGTAGTGGTGCGAACAATCCAGTAGTAGTCACTGGTATTAGTATTATTGGTAGTAAGTAGTGGTACCTGTCCGACCAGGTCTTCCAGTCTGGGAACTGGTTTTCCCTTCTGATGTCTCTCTGTTGGGGGAGATTGACCATCCCAGTCCTTCAGCTCCAAGCTCTTCAGGTACAACAAGGTCTTCAAACCTGGACACACATAGTTTCAATATCTGAAATCAGTAGCGTCTGGACACACTGGAACCTTTTTATGTTGGTGGTTAGTTCATGGCTGTTGAGGCCATACATACACCTAGAAATGTTTGTTGTCATTGGTCACTCGTTTTAGGGTCATATATGTTAGATTTGCTCTACGTGTTTTCATTACATACAGTTACATACCCACACAGTAATCCTCAATCACTGTGAAGTCCTGGTTCTGGACTGCGCTGCACACCTGTGGCAATCAGACGCACAAAGACAAACAAACATCAACAAGCAAACAATTTTAGATTTGATTTTTGCTTTAAATCATTGCAAGACAAATTCAAAATTTCACATTTTCATTAAAGACAGCTTGTAACTGCTTCCATCCCTACAATTGCTCTATTAAATTAATGACTTCTGTTAGCCTCAGTGGCTCGCATCAAAAAAACAGGAAGGAACAGAACCTCTCACTTTGAAAACTGTATTACTGTTTACACCATGGTGCTGAAAGCATCCAATATAGACTATTATTCTCAGGTTTGATTGATTGATTGTCAGTAGAAA